GGGTAAAAGATTGAAGGAGTTGGTCACATGGGGTTCTTAAAATTGGGGCATTGACACAAATTTCCCCTAATTTTTTGATAACATGCGTGAGCGCAGGGCACTAGCCCCTAGCGCCCTCACACTAAATCCCTATCTCAAGGATATTTTTTATTTGGTTTGAACCCAAGTTATAGGATAATAAATTCTTAAAAAGAAGAAGAGGTGAATATATTTATCTTGGTAAGGTTACTTCCAAAAATCATACTCCCTTTAAAAGCACGAGTTCGGAAAATCTTTTTTAGACAAATATACCCCTTTATAGTTTGAACTACCTTATCTATAATCAAATTCTAATTTTCAATGGTTAATATTACCCTTCACTATTTTGAATATTTTATTTATATCTTATAATTTTCAATGGTTAATATTACCCTTCACTATTTTGAATATTTTATTTATATCTTAATCTATCCTAATTATAATCATATCTTATCATAATCCTATGTGAACCATGTTTAGTTTAACAATTTAAAAAAACTAATATTAATAAAATATATAAAACATAAAAATGATATTAGTTTGTTAAGATAAAGAAATTACAAGTAGATAACATATTATAATACATGAAGTATTACCATAAAAAGTTTTAAAATTGCAGAAAAGATCCTGAAAAGTTCAAAATTATAAAACTCATCCAAATATCTCAAAACTTAAAATAAAAAACATGAAATTAAAAAATTAACATCAGTTTGCAAAGAATTTAAACTTTACAGTTAACACCTTAATGTCTCAAAAATTATAGAAACACCCTCAAAAGTTTAAATTACAGACAAGCACATTAAAATTCTAAAATTTTAAAACTTACAAACAACACAGATGAATTCAAGAGATTACCATGATACAACTAAATTTTTTGATATTTAAATTTTTTAATTAACACCCTCAATATCTCAAAAATTATAGAAACACCTTCAAAAGTTTAAATTATAAAAAACCACCCTTAAATTCTAAAATTTGTAAATAAAATAAGATGAATTCAAGATATTACCCTTAGGCACCTAAAAAATTAAAATTTGCCAAAATTAACTTCAAAATTTTTAAAAAACTCCTTCAAAATTTAAAAATCGTAAAAAAAACTCTAAATTTTCAAAAATTTTAACTAGCACACATCAAATTCGTCGATTGGTAGACCGCTGAAATTTAATATTTTTCAAAATTAATCTATAGTTTTAATAATTGCAAAAGACACCATCAAAATTTTAGAGTTATAAAAAATATACAAATATTTAAAAAATTACCACCAACACATGAAACATAGAATTTACAACTACCAAACTTAAAAGTAAATTTTTTTAAAAACTCTTTCAAAATTTTAAAAATTATAAATCACACCCTCAAAGTTCAAAACCACAAAAATGGGCTAAAATTTTAAAACTTGGCAAAGAAAAGTGTAATTGTTTGGTATTTTTCATATATATATATATATAAATTTCTAATTTAGGGATTTACTATCCATTTTCAACATCTAAGAATAGTCTAAGTTGATACTGGTAAAAAAACAATAAGAATTGATTAAAAACATCCAGTTAATGGATAAATTTTTTAAAAATATTATAGATTAAAAATTATCGGCACTATATAAATTAAAGTAATTTCATATAATTTTAGTAATAAGTTGGGGTAGCCAAAATACATTCGTAACATTAATTGATAGATGTTTAAATCCATAGAAATGATAAAACACTATAATATTATACCTTAGCATTAATTGATTTTAATTTAGAAACTTTAATCTTTGACGTTAATAATATTTATAGGGTAAAAGAATACAAGGAATTACATATGGAGAAACTATTAGAATATTTAGAGATAACTTTAAAAGAATTGAGTTATTTCCATTGCAAATGGGAAAGTGATGGAAATAAATCTAAAATTCAGAAAACGTCAATGAATCACTTGAATTGGCATTAACATAAGACATATCTATTAATGAAGCACTGAATGAGTTACATTAAAAAATAATTTAATAACTTTATCCTAATCAAAGAAAAAATCTCCATGGAAGACATAAGAAAAATTAGTAAGTATTCATAAATTCCATACTGTGTTCTTCAAATTAAATATTAATATTATAATCTAAGAGAAATTGGTAATGAATAATGCAGGTATTTAGTTTAGATCTTTATGGAAAATGACAGGGATAGAGCAAAGGTAATATTATTGAAATAACAGAAATTCTTATTGGATGCACATCAGAAGAATTCATTTTAGAGGAAAATAAAGAGATAGCTTCTAATTTATTTAAGTAATAAATTAGGAACACAAAGAATTTTATATATATGAAATTAATATTTATTCTCATTGAAATAGAAAAAAAATCAAAGTCTATATTTTGAGCAGTTTGTGTTGAACATCATAAGTACATTTGACTTCTTTGTAAAGTTAAATGAGATGATAAAAAATTAACGAGCCTAGGAAAGATAATAGCATAAAAAATACAAAATTAGCCTGATGTCACAATTGATGTAGATGATGAAGACAATACTCTAGAATTGTCCGAGAAATGATAAATGATAAACCTGAAGAAGGATTGATCTTAACTCAATAAAAAATAAAATAGAAGAAATAAAAACAATATTTTATGAATATTTTATAGAATAGTTTAATTATTTTGAGTGAAATTAGGAATCTTTAGAAGGGAGTTTCATGAATTTTTTTAGTACTTTTATATTCTTATGTGGATGTTTTTATCATATAAAAGTATACTATAGTTAGCATTAATCTTTAATTTATATTTTTTATGAAGTCTATCAATATCAATGATTAGGAATAAATTTCATATTCTCTTTTGTATCGTTTTAACATACTTTAAATCAATCATTTTGCCATATTGGTTTTAAATATTCACCTTCCTTGTATAAGACTATTTTAATATTTTTCACTTTGCAATGCTATACTTTCTCAAATAAAGCTTAGTTTTATAACGGTCAAAAATAATATAAAAATTCAAATTATTTTTAAATTATATTTGTTTTTTGTCAATTCAAATATCAAATAATATAAAAATTCAAATTATTTTTAAATTATATTTGTTTTTTGTCAATTCAAATATCAACATGAAAATTTAAATTGGGTGTATCCCATTTAAACAAACATAAAAAATAATCAGGATGTAAGAGTTTAAAGAAAAAAATGAGCACATACTGCCAAAAATACTTAATCATGGTATTAAATCACGTGCATTGCACGTGTGTAAAAACTAGTAAAATAAAATACAAAAGTATAAAAAGAGAGGTAATCATACCCATCTATGGGATTTGCCAAATCCTCTCCAATTGAGAGATGTCAACAAATTCTAAATATTGTATAATTTTTGCACTTTTGGGATTCAACTATTCAAAAATTTTCATAAAACAAACACAAAATATAGAATCCCAAAAAAACTCACTTTTGATCCTAAAACCTGTAATCCACATCAAACACCAAAATTTTACTTGAACCAAACAACCCTTTACCCAATTTAGAGTTTACGTTTTCTTTGACAAACCATACAGCGCAAGTCACGATTTGCTACTCTACTCACTTGCTCTTGGGGAAAAAGGCTTACAGTGAATCTAGACTAGATGGTCGTCGATGAAATCTCAGTTGACATCTTGTACTTTTCTGTGTAAATAAAATAATATTTACACACATACAAATACTTTTGATTTTAATGAACAGGGATCAACCCTTGTTTTTCTTTCAAAAAAAAAATATTTTAGAAGGTGCGGTGCAAAAAGCTAACTATTTAGGGTTTGTCAATCCTTCTAATTTCCTGGTGCTCTTTAATCCCAGTGTTATGTAGCGTGGACAAACAAGGGTTTAGTCAACGGCACAATTTGTTTTGTAAGTAAATGAAATTAAAAAGAAAATCTGAATTGTTAATTCATCATAATATTTTATCAGGGACAAATAATAAAAAGAGTAAAATTGCACGCATCACCCATTTGACTATCAAATTATAATAGTTACGCATCACACCTAAAGCGTCAAATCACGAATATTATCCATCACAAATCCTTACTAATATTCCATAAATCCGCACCCTGACTCAAAATCACACGAGCCCAATTGGGCACGTTCGGACTCGAGTCTATAGCCTCGAATCGACCGCTCAAGTCAATCATTCCGATTGCAGCCGCAGATATTTTAGTCGTTGAAGAGGAGTGGAGTGAGGTAGACGTGCTCTAGGCTCATGGAGCACCGCCTCCGCCTCTCTCCAGCACGCAACTCTCCCGCGCCCCCCTCCCTATAAATACCCTCTCCCCTCATCACCATCCCCTGCTTCTCCCAAATTCTAGGGCTTCGCCTCTCGATCCCGATCGTCGATGGCC